GCTAAGGGTGGGTGCAGCCCTGAGGTTGCCCCGCTTATGACGTATGTCCAAGATGGCTCCTGCTCTTTGTCTTGCTCGCCTTTGAGAGGTGAGCGGAGAGACAGAAACTCGTGTCGTATGGGTCACTTTTTTTTCCCCCCTCTCTTCTAGTTAGCCTGGTGAAATTTTCCCTATGGGGTTTCAGGCCTCGTTCCCTCTAGTCTCCTCTTTCCGCTTGCCTGCTGGTATCTCAAGCTATTAAGATTCAGCTCACCTCATGTTCCTGCGCGCTGGTGCATTGATTCTGCCGCTGGTGTCCCAAACTGTGGGCTCCCATGCTCTCCATGCAGGTCTGCTGTGAATCACTAGTTCCGGAAGAGTTTCCTCTGCTGTTTCTTCCCCTACTCTTCCTTGAACCTGCAGTATCTCCACTTTTATTAAACTGTCTCTTCCTGGACTATCAGTGTGCTCCCTTTCTATTCTGCCATCTTGCCGCTCTCACAATAACTCATTTCTGCCTGTGATTCAGAGGTGTATGGTTTCTAAAGTGGTGGGGTGGCAGCCTTAACTTCCTGTCTAATAGGTTCATTAGTATGACTCTTGGTATAAACATTTTTGTCTTTGCAACTAAAATCTTTAGGCTAATATAGCATTTGGTCATGGGGACAGAAAGCAGATTTCACTAGTGGGTTACTAGGGTTATTAGTTGTGCTACACCCTCCTACAACTCTTGATTTCTAAGTTGTGAATGTGAACACTGACCATGGCAGAAACAGCACCATATAATTTATATGCTGATGGAAACATATACAGCCTCTTGAAGAACTCTGTTTAGCCACCTTGCCAGTACTGTGAGTCTTTAAAGACATTTTACTATTTTGTTAAACCGGGTGCTTCAAATTCTGGTGCACAGCATTGTAGAAACAGGGAATTCCAGGGGGCTGTCACTGTGGCATAGCAATTAAAGCCACAGCCTGCAGTACCGGCAGCCCTGCACCAGCGTGGGAGACCTGGAAGAAACTGCTGGCTCCCAGCTTCTGGCTTCAGATCCCTGTGGCTCTGGCTGTTGTGGCCATCTGGGGAGTGAACCAGTGGATGAAAGACCTCTCTCTCTCTCTCTGTCTCTCTTTCTCTCTTGTGGGGAGCAACTCGGACTAGACTAAGTTACTGGAATTAAGACTTATTCTGTGCATCTGCTCTCCCACAATATGGTGCTGGGAGAGGAGTAAACAACTTCTACACAGCTGCCTCCAGTTCGACCTCCACGGAGGTGGAGGTGGAGGGATCGGCAGCCAACCCGGGAAGAATCAGCAGCAAACCCGGGAAGGGCCGAGCAGACGAAAGAACAGCGCAGGGTCTTGTGTCGTTCCTCCGCGAAGAGGGGGAGCGACACTCTCTCTCTCTGCCTCTGCCTCTCTCTGCCTCTGCCTTTCAGATAAATAAATAGAATCCAAAAAAAAAAAAAAAATAGTGAATTCCAAAAGCTTGTGTTCATTGCCACACTTCATTTTCTATGATGTGAGTTTCTTGATTAGAAGTAATGCTGTGTGGTATACTATTGCCAGGGTTTGTATGTGAATTGACCCCCAGGGTCTGTGTGTTGGAGGTTTGTCTCCTGGGTGGCAATTTTGTAAAGTGATGTGGAATCTTTAAAAGGTGAGAGCCTAATGGGAGATCCTTAGATCAACTGAGGGAACTGCTCTGAAGGGATTATAGTTCCTGTGTAATCCCCTTGGTACTTCTCTCAAGAGAGTTATTATGAAAACCTGGGTCTGAATACACCCAATGTTCTGGCTTCCTTTTTAGGAATGCAATTGCTTGTTCTTGCATGTGCTTCCATTATGATATGACACAGCCAAGAGGGCTTTCTTTTACCAGAGCTAAACTGATGCATGCATGATGCTTTTTAACCCCTAGGACTATAAGCTAAATAAACCTCTTTTCTTTGTAAAGTTAACCTGCTTCACATATTTCATTATAGCAGCAAAGAATAGAATAATACAGCCATGATGGTGGATAAGGCATTTTTTATATTCATGTCTAGTATCCTTGACAGAAGCATTTCATGCAAGGAAAGCTTATCTGGATTCAAAGTGTGTCTTTTAGTAAAAACAAAATTCTGCCCCTACCATGATAGAAGCTTTTTAGTGTAATCAGCCTGCTGTGAGGTAGCTGACTGACTGCTGTGGAGAATGGTGCCACATCAGGGTGCCTGCCCTCAACAATGGTTGTGGCCAGATTGGCTTTGGTGAAAAGCACATGTTACTGGCCTTCTTATCCTTGTGTAAACTTCCCTGCTACCATGGCCACTTTGATCATGAACCTGTTGAATAGGTTTGATCCAAAGTGGTAGCTGACTCAGTTTGTCCAGTGTGAAAAGTCTGCCTCAGTTTTTCTAACGTGTATAAATTTGCATTTTAAACCCCTGTACAAACTTTTCTTTTACTCATTCCTCAAGTTTTCCCTTTGGCCTCTTAAGTCCTCACTTTATATTTTTTTATTTTCCTAGAACATTTAATCATCTTCCTCCTAGGAGCCAGGCAGCTATCATATTTTTGCTACAGGCTATTTCTAAAATACATATTGAAGATCAACTCAGTGTCAGGTCTCTTTTATGTATGGAGAGTATAGGCAATTATATCTACCCTCATGGAATTTATATTATAGAAGTTATTTAAAAATTTTAAGCAAAAAAGAGATAAGTTTATTATATAATATGCTAGTAATTGACAAGTGCTATGGAAAAAAAAAACAAGAAAAGATAGAGTATGGCAAAGAGAGACTCAAAATGCTTGCAGTAAGTATACACATATGTGTTGTTAAATGAGGTGATAAGGCTAGCATTCACTGAGAAGTTGAATTTTGAGCAAATTGTCAAAGGTTGTGAAGCAGTTAACCATGAAGAAATCTGAGGAACAGTGTCTTAAAGCATGTGTGTTCAGGATCAGCTGGGAGACTTATTTCTAGAACAGAATGAGCTAGGAGAAGAATGTAGGAAAGTAGTTATTGAAGTAGTGGGGTACAGCTTATGGTAGACTGTTAAAGGACTTCTGTTACACTGAGTGGAAAGGGGAGCCTTTTGATGTTTTGAGCAGGAGATCATCACGATCTAAGCTGTATTTCAGAAAGACTAGCTGTGCTGTTAAAATCAGAATCTAGGCTGGGAAAACTTTTAGAAGACTATTATAATAATTCCAGGCAAGACATGATGGTGATTTGGGTCCCAGGTAGTTGCAAGGAAAGTGGTTAGGTTTCGAAGATAAAGCCAACATAATTTCCTAATGTATTGCAGGTGAGTACTAGAACCCTTTCAGAGGAAGGAAAAATGACAACGAAACAGAAAAAGAATGACTAGTGAGATAGTAGAAAAACTAAGAGAATATCACAGCATAGAAATCAAAGAAACAAAGTGTACTGAGTTCTAGGGAATATCACCTGTGTCAAATGTTCTGCTAAGTAGGGTTACCTTACCTTACCTTATCTGAGAACTGACCGTTAACTTAGTAGTGATAACTTCTATGGTGCTTAATCAATTTAGCATGTTTAAGATTAAGCTTTTTATTTATTTATTTGAAAGGTGGAGTTACAGAGAAAAGGGGAGGTAAGGGGGGTGGGGGAGAGAAATTCCATCCACTGATTGACTCTCCAAATGGCTGCAAAGGCCAGGGCTGGGCCAAGGTGAAACCAGGAGCCTGATACTTCATCTGAATCTCCCACATGGGTCAGGAGCCCAAGCACTTGGGCATCCAGCTTTTGCGATTTTTCCAGGCACATTAGCAGGGAGCTGGATCAAAAGTGGAGCATCTGGAACATGAACCAGCATCCATATGGAATGCCATTGTCATAGGAGGTGGCTTAACCCCCTCTGCCACAATGCCAACCCCTAAAGTTAAAATTATTAACAAATTCCGGCCGGCGCCGCAGCTCACTAGGCTAATCCTCCGCCTAGCAGCGCCGGCACTCCGGGTTCTAGTCCCGGTTGGGGTGCCGGATTCTTTCCCGGTTTCCCCTCTTCCAGGCCAGCTCTCTGCTGTGGCCAGGGAGTGCAGTGGAGGATGGCCCAAGTGCTTGGGCCCTGCACCCGCATGGGAGACCAGGAGAAGCACCTGGCTCCTGCCTTCGGCTCAGCGTGGTGCGCGGGTCGCAGTGCGCCGCCAAGGCGGCCATTGGAGGGTGAACCAATGGCAAAGGAAGACCTTTCTCTCTGTCACTCTCTCTCACTGTCCACTCTGCCTGTCCAAAAAAAAAAAAAAAAAATTATTAACAAATTCCTTCCAAATGTTCATTTCTGAATTATGTCTGCTTAATTGTCCAAGCATTTGAATCCTTGTGTCTCCTGATTACAATTTGGTGCATTTTCAACTGTTTTATAGGATGGAAATCAATCCAAAAAGTTAGTAAGATTGAGTTTAACAAGTTTTTATAAGTCATACCAAGCAGTTTTAGTTTTGTTCTGGAAACCATTGATGGTTACAGGTGACATAAAAAGATTTATGTATAGAAGGTTAACTCTGGGTCACAAATGCCTTTAGAAAGAGAAAGACCATGTGACAGAAATAGTAATAAAGTCATTTGAACTTTCCTACCTCCCTTACTGTTAGGGTGAGTACTACTTCCCTTATTTATTCCTTGTTTGTCATATTCTTTGTTTAGTACTGCATGTTAAAAGATAAAGTCTTTTTTTAAGATAAAGTCTTTATATTTACTTAATTACATTGGTGTTTAAACTGTGTCTATGTATGTATTTTAATCTGTCATTTAAAAAATAGGGATAAGGTCTCTTTAAGTTATTATATAAAACCATGTTATTTCAGCAGTGATTTTAATATCTGAATTATATAATCAAATTTAAAGTTCTTCATTTGTTTCGAGTATTTAAGAATATTTCTAAAGTCTTTATTTGATCAGATATTTTTTAATGACCATAAAATCTATGCTTGTGAAAAATGTTTAATTAGATTTCTAAGGAGCTATTTTATGACTTTGTTGAATATAGATCTAATTATGTCCAATTTTCCCAGGTACCTTCTCTTAATGGATCTTCAAGATAGAAACGAAAAGCTTTTTTATAGAGTACTCATGTCTGACATTGAGAAATTCATGCCTATTGTTTATACTCCTACCGTGGGTCTGGCTTGCCAACAATATAGTTTAGCATTTCGGAAGCCAAGGTATGTAAATTTTTATTTTAAATACAACTTGATATGTCTTTTTTGCAGAGTTTTTGTAGTAACCTAAATTTACTTATTATTTAAATGGACAAATAAAAAAGTGTTTTGTGTTTTTGGTACACGTGATGTTTTGAAACATGTATACATTGTTAAATAACTGTGTTAAGCTAATTCACATATGCATTATCTCATATACTTATTTATTTCTGGTGAGAACACTAAAATCTATCATAGCAATTTTAAGTATATAATGCATACCATTAACCATAGTCACCATTGTACAATAGATCTTTTAAACTCATTACTCCTGTAGAACTGAAAATTTGTATTCTTTGACCAACAACTGCATCATGCCCTCAGACCTTAGTAACCACTATTCTACACTCTGCTTCTATGAGTTGGACTATTTTTAGGTTTCACATATAGATGAGATAATGTGACTTTTTTTCCTGTACCTGGCGTATTTCATTTAACATATTATCATCTGTGTTGTTGCAAATGATGAACTTTTCTTCACTTTTGAGTCTCAATAGTAATCCATTTTATATATGGGTGTATACCTCATTTTGTTTCTACTCATCTGTTGATAGACATTTAGGTTGAGTCTATGGCCTAGTTATTACGTATAATACTTCAATGAACATGCACGAGCCAATATATCTTTAATTTACTGATTTAATTTCCTTTGCATACACAAACAGTAGTGGGAATACTAGATCATGTGATAGTTCTATTTAAAATTGTTTTTAGGAACCTAAAAATTATCACAGCTCCATAATGGCTATAATAATTTATATTTCCACCAACAGCGTACAAGGGTTCCCCTTTGTACACATCTTCACTAATACTTATCTTTTTTCTGTTTTTTTTTATAATAGCCATTCTAACAAGTATAAGATGATATTTATTTTTCTATTTTAATATGCATTTACCTGATAGTTGGTGGTGTTGAGCAATGTTTAAATATACCTGTTGGTCGTTTCTGTGTTTTCTTTAAGGTGATGTCTATTCAGATCCTTTGCCTGTTTTTAAATCTGAATACTTTATCGCTGTTGGGTTGTCCGAGCTCCTTATTTATTTTAGATTAACTTCTGATCAGATGTATGATTCACAAATATTTTCTCCCATTCACTAGGCTGTCTCTTCATTCTATTATTTCCTTTGCTATGCAGAATCTGTTTAGTTTGATGTAATCCCACTTGTCAATTTTTGCTTTTGTTGCCTTTTGGGTCTTGTGTCTTTTTGGTTTTATGCCTTTTGGTCATATCAAAAAATTGTTGCCTAGGCCGATGTCATGGAGTTCTCCTGTGTTTTCTTGCAGTAGCTTAGCAATTTCAGGTCTTTTTCAACTGAGTTTATTTTTGTACATGCTAAGAGACAGGTAGGGGAGTAGTGGCTAGTTTTGTTCTTCTCCATGTGGGTATACCGTTTCTCTAATGAAGAGTCTGTCCTTTCCCTCATTGTGTTCTTCTTGATACCTTTATCAAAAATCAACTCACTATAAATGCACGAAGTTATTTCTGGGTTCTTTATTCTGTTTTTTTTTTTTTCTTGATGTGCATTTTGGATAGTTTTTTGTTTACAGATATGTTACTGATTTTGTGTGTTGGTGAAATGTTTCTGCTGTTTTAGTGTTCTTTCTATGTGTATATATTCTGCAACTTTCCTGAATTCATTAATTCTACCAGATTTTTGGCGGAGTTTTTTAGGTTATAAGATGATGCTCTCTTCAGCGACAGTTTGAATTCCTCCTACGTTGAATAGAAGTGTTGAGAATTAACATTCTTGTCCTGCTTTTACCATTCTGTATAGTGTTAGCTGTGGACTTGTCATGTATTTCCTTTATTGTGTTGAGATACATTCCTTCTATACCTAATTTGTTGAGAGTTTTTTTTTTTTTTTATCATGAAAGGATGTTTAATCTTGTGTCCTGCTTTTTTTTCATCTGTTCAAATGATTGTGTGGTTTTTGTTCTTTATTCTGTTAATGTAGTATTTCACATTTACTGATTTATGTATGTTGAATCATTTTTGCATTCAGGGGATAAATCCAACTTGTGGTGAATGATCCTTTTACTATGGCCTGAATTCAGTTTGTTAGTATTTTGTAGAGGGGTTTTTTCATCTATGTTCATCAGGGATTTTAACCTTTTTTTAAAGATTTATTTATATGAAATTCAGAGGTACACAGAGAGAGAAGGAGAGAGAGAGAGAGATTGATCTTCCGTCTGCTGGTTTATTTCCCAGTTGACCGCAACTACTGGAGCTGCGCCGATCTGAAGCTAGGAGCTTCTCCCAGTTCTCTCACATGGGTGCAGGGGCCCAAGGACTTGGGCCAGCTTCTACTGCTTTCCAAGGTCATAGCAGAGAGCTGGCTCGGAAGTGGAGCAGCTGGGCCTTGAACTGGCGACCATATGGGATACCGGCACTGTAGGTGGCAGCTTTACCCGCAAAGCCATAGCACCGGCCCCAGATACTGACCTTTAATTTCCCCTTTTTTATAGCATCCTTCTCTTGTTTTGATATCAGGGAAATGTTGGTCTTATGAAATGAGTTTTGAAGTACTTGCTCCTCTTTAATTTCAAAAGAATTGCTGAATGAAATTCAACTTTGGAAAAATCAAATTCAAATTTTATTTAAAAGAATATTAGATATAGATAACATTAAAACATAGTATTTTCTTTTTCATTTGAAGATTATGGAAAAGTAATTCTAAACCAATTTAGTTTCCTATAAAGAAATTAAGGATCATGATTAAGTTAGTTTCTGAGATGTTAATTATTACTTATATAAAAAATAAAGTTTTAATATTTTTCTGAAAATAGTATATTATTTTCTAAATTTAAGTTGGCATTTAATTATTTTAATGTAGCTCTTTTGATGATTTTGCATGAGTGAAATTACAGCTCCCTTTTAAGATGCATAGAATATAGAATACAAGTTTTCTAAATCTTCTGCAGTGATTTCTTCATTATATGAGTATTAAGTTAAATATTTTTTGAAACAAGAAGCAATTAAAATATATAAATACTAATATTTTAATAGTAGCAACAACAAAGCTCAAGTTGGGTGTGTCTGTGCTGCTCACAACTCTGAATTTAAAGATAAAAATGTTCAAGTGGTAACTTTATACCACAAATATAAAACTATTGAAAGTACCATAACTGAAGAGTATTTTAGAGGTAGTATCTGAAAATTATATTGAATATAAGGTTTCACTTAGCTGCATTGACATAGTGGTATTATTTGCTCCACTTGTGCTACATTACCTAACATTTGTATAAAAAAAAGTGTTGGCCACATCATCTTTTTATATAAAAAGAATAAAATAAATATCTGTAGATGGTCTGGTAAATTACATTAATAGTATATATCTGTGTTACATTTATATAATGGCTATATTATCAGTGACTGATTTTTTTCATAGAAGAAGAACAGGTTTCTTCTCTTAAATGTATTGTTAAGATGAATTAATTTTGGGGTACAATATCCTGTGTCATCATACCAACAAATCCTGATCCATACAAATGCATACTATTTTCCTTATAGATAAAAGGATCATACTATATAAACCATTCATTACCTTACTATATTCTATGAGTAATGTTCATAAACATCTATTTGCCTTTAAAATGTTTCTATCTAAAGGAAGAATCTTAGTAAATGTAAGTATATATATCAGCTTTTATAATTCAAGCACATTTATTGAAATTCTAATGTTTCTGTGAGTTACTGAGAACTATGAGTAAGTATAAGTAGAAGAGCTTAGCTCAATAAAGTATTTGCATTGAAGTAGACATTGAAATCTCAGTAACCACAATTGTTTTTTGAGCACTTACTATGTACTAGATGACTTTCTAAGGGCTTGAGATAACATTCATATGCATATATTTTAAAAGCAGCAGAGACAGACATGAGAATAAAAATTGTCTAGGGTGTTTGTGAAGACAGTAGAATAGATCAGGAAAGGTGCAGGGGAAATAGGAGTGTTAGTTGTTTTGTGGGAGATAGTTGTAGTTTTAGTGTGGTTAGTATGGACATCATTGGAAGATGATATTGGAGGAGTGAGGGAGGGAGGAGAGATAATCATGTAGATGCACATGACGACATGTACCAGATGGGTATACAGTGGTGTGGAATGAGAAGGAGATAATAGGAGATGAGGTCACAAAGGTAAAAAAAAATGAGGGAGTGTCTTGTAGTATATATATTTTTAATTTTTAAAGGTTTATTTATTTATTTGAAAAACAGAGTGAGAGAGATGGGGAAGGGGAGAGAGAGAGAGAGAAATATCTTCGATTCGCTGGTTCTACCCTAGATGGCCACAATGGCCAGCCTTGTAGTCTATTTTAAAGGATGTTGATTTTTACTGCTGGTTAAATGGAAAGACCTAAATGGTTTTGAGTAGTGGAATAACATTATATAATATTTCTAAGTACAACACTGATTGCTGTGTAAATAGACTAAACAAGCAAAAGAAGAATCTGAAAGCCTGAATAGGAGGTCATTGCCATAAACCCAATGAGAAATCATGATGGCTTAGATAAGAAAGATAGTAAAGAACTTTAGGGGTAAATGTTCAAATTTTGGATAAAAGTAAAGAAAGGCACAAAGATTTCCTGTTGACCTGAAGTCCTTCTGGAGTAGTGATTGAAAGTGGACCCTGGCATAGATTGCCTATTTTCACTGACTGTTTTTACCACTTGTCTTAGTGCAGTATACAATATTTAACCTTTCTGGGCTTCAGTTTCCTCCCAACATCCCACCACCTATTATCCATGTTTTTTTCATTTTAAAACTTTGAAAACTAGGCTGGCGCTGTGGCACAGCGGGTTAACATCCTGGCCTGAAGCACTGGCATCCCATATGGGTGCTGGTTCGAGTTCCAGCTGCTCCACTTCCTATCCAGCTCTCTGCTGTGGCCTGAGAAAGCAGTAGAAGATGGCCCAGGTCCTTGGGCCCCTGAACCCACGTGGGAGACCTGAAGGAAGCTCCTGGCTC